ATCTTCAACAGAGCCTATACTGGACAGTATGCGGGCCCACATCACGGATTTGGTGAAAGCAGCCATCAAGAAAAACTCAATTCCTGCTGTTATTCCTGGAGGTACAACAAAGTTTTTGCAACCCCTGGACATCAGTGTGAATCGTGCATTTAAAGCAGCACTCAGGGCTGAATGGGAGGCTTGGATGACTGACGGGGATAAATCATTCATAAAAACTGGCCGAATGTGAAGAGCGTCATTTCCTGATGTCTGCCTGTGGATCCTAACAGCGTGGAGCAGAGTGAATGAGTCCACCATCACCAATGGGTTCTGAAAGGCTGGACTGCTACGTGAAGAGGGCACCACAGCTTCAGAGCCAGCATTACCCCGAGAGGACAACAGATACTGCTGTGTGACGCAGCTTTTCTGAGCTTGTTTAACTCCGACACTGAAGAGGAGGACTTCGATGGTTTCAGTGCRCCGGAGGACGATGAATGAGACCTTTTGTTGGACCAGAAACGGTTAAAGAAAAGTACTAAAATAAGGTCAGTTAAATGAACCATATTCCTCCGAACTTTAATTCCTAAAGGTTTGCTTTTTTTATGTTTTGATGTTAAATTCACTTTTTTGACGACAATTTTGGGTGTACTGTTTGTTTTTTTATGTTGGGGGTGCGGCTTATAGTCCGGTGCGGCTTATATGCTAATGTTTGCGGGGTTTTTTTTTTTAAATGTGGTGGGTGCGGCTTATAGTCTGAAAAATACGGTAGGTTTTGGCAACATTTCTAACTGGTAAAAACAGGGTGTAAACAAAAACACTGACAAACATTTTAACAGCTGCATAATGAAAAAGTCTCCACAAGGACAAAAATCAATGACGCGTGCAAGTGAAGACTAATAAATCTCTAAACAAATTAGCTGCATGCTCTGAGGAGATGCATTAGTGAGTTAATGGTAACACATAAGACGTTTGCAGGACATTTTCAATTACTCACAATGGTGCAGGTGCAGGCTGTAAATCACAGCATGCCAAGGCATTAACCAGCAGTGATGCTCATTTACATTTTACAAATAGAAAACCTTTTTGTACCTGCTGTTTGAGTGGCTTAAAAGGTGTTCAAGAGTCTCACAAAACAAAACACCATTGATGGGAATTTTACTGCACCTCACCTCTGAATGGAGTCAGAATTTTAGCTGCAAAGGCATCACATTCATGTAAAGTCAATGACTTGAGATTATGCATCTAAGGTTGGGTCTAAGCTTGCTTAAAGTTGATCCAAACTTTGAATAAGTTTGATTTAATTTTTCAGTTTTGTTTGACAAATAGATTCCTTTTGACTGGAAATGAAAAAACTTGCATAACTCTTAAAGTGCCTGTGATTTAAATTTTTGGTAAGAAATATAAATACCTTTTTGGAAAAATAACACTGATAACATATTGCAAAAACATTTTCAGTTGTTGAGATATTTAATAAGATTTATTTAATAAGAATTTTTTTCTTCTACCTGCTACCTTTCATTTTATTTGTGTTGTATTATTATTTGTTGTATATACGACATTTGTTTTGTTTTTAAATGAAATGAATAAATTTAAATAGATACATATAGTTGCGTGTGAAGAATCATGAAGTGATGCCAAAGGGGAATGTTTCAAAGGTTCTGTATTTTTGTTTATAGATTTATGAAAGCCATAAGAATATAGCAATGCATTTTGATCATTCTTTTTAATCAAATTTGTAGTTTCATTCCTACTTAACTCTCCAGAGTTCAGCCTTTCATCTTCCTAAACATCAGACCAGCAGAGGTCAGTTTTCTGTCCCATACAGGGAAGCTAAACTTTGGAATGACTTTTCCCACTTAGCAAAATACAGGCAGTCTGAAACTGTACTTAATTAAAAAGTTGTGATTGTGACTTATCATTGTCACATATTTTACTCAAATTCACATTCATTTTGTTGAAAGTGGTGTTTTTTTGTTTTATTTTTTGTTTGTTTTTTTATAGGATTGTATTGTATAATTTTATGATCAACTGATTAAGGAGTGCATTGTTGGATTATTATAATTGTTTATATTATTACATTTTAAATTATTTTTATGTCAAGTGTCTTAATTAAAAAGATGTTTTCTTTGACTTTTTGTAATTGAAGGATATGCATGTCACAGACACTTAAATTTAAACTACCTGTTTTTTTTCCTAAAATGCCATGTTCTAAAATATTTGTACTTTTTTCAATAATAAATTTTATAATTGAATGTTCAACTTGATTTAAGACRGCTGTCAAAGCTAACTGCTTTTAGAAAACAAACAAAAAAATCTAAAATTCAGTCAGTTTTACAGATATTGGGCTAAAATTTAGTGCAGTTGTAGCTGAGCTTATTTTGTCCTTTTTTGTTTTGTAAATTTACTTTTGAAGTTATTCATGAAAATATATGGATTTGCAATCTAGATGTTTGYCTCTCGAGTTTCAGTTTCTAGCACTTCCTTAACAATAACTAAACATGGATTCAAGTCTTCTGTGAGCTCCAGGATTCACACTAACATCATGAGTGACGCTCTGGAACCAGAACAGCATTCATAATTTTAGATCTCACGACAAAGAAATATAAATAAATCAGCWGGTAGTTTCAACTCGTGTGAGGACAGGCAGGTTCCATGACCCAGACGGAGATAATGATCCCTCAAGAGATAAGGACCAGTCATTTAAATCTGAAGCAGTCCCTTGGATCTTAGGTCAAAATGTTTTTTTAAGAATAAAAAAGGTCTTACTCTTCTTACTCATACTCTTAAGGACACTTAAAATAGCTTCCAATAAAAGGCCGGTATACTTATGCTCCTTAATATGTCCTCAATGATAAAAATGGTTACAYTCAGCAGAAGTCTCTTTTTCTTTTTGCTGGTACCTAATCTGTCATATTTCTCATCTTACCTCCAAATTGCTTCCATGAAACTACAAGATGATGTGSTTTTTCTCAAAAACATGGATTTATCTCACTGTGCCTTTCTTTATACTGCAGCACCAAGTGAATAAATATCATTATGTTTGTAATATGGCTCTGATACATAAAAGCAGCCCATCTTYAGCTGTTCTTGTGGAAGTGCAGTACATACGTGTTGCAGGTGTACGTGAGCCTGACTAGCGATGTCGTAGACCACGTCTCGGACTTTCTGCTCCCGGCTGCCACGGATGAAGTCCTCCTGAGAAGCGCCGTGCTGGAGAAACGACACAGAAATACGACCCACGTTGATGTTTGGTTTTCAAGGTTACAGAAGGTGTGTATGGAATTTAACAGGTGAGCCTATCGCTGYAGTTCAGCTGGGTCCAGTTTAGCGCCACTTCACACTGGGGCTGAGTCGCTCCTTTGATTTGTTGGAGCTTCAAGTTGGCTCCTGGTATTTTAACAAAGGACTATAGCTCCTCTGCACCGGAAATACAAACAACTCAGACAACCAAGTTTAGAATTTACATACATTCAATTGAAATGAGCTAGCAAGATCAATTGGATCTTTCATATGCATCATAGTGACACTTGTGCAGCTTTATAAACAAAAGCTATCAACTTTAATTCTACTGCCTTCACTGGTATGCCAACAGGAATGTGTGAAAGTATATGTTCGTAACAAGATAYGTTATCTATAATTACCCTGAGCACAAAAATGTTTCAGTTTCTGCTGATAAATTGTCGCTTAAAATATTAACATCAAACATTGTCTGATTGATGCCTCTGATAATTGCAGCAAGGAGATGAAACTTAATTTAAATAAATTTTCCCAAGCTCCCAAATAAGTGCWGGATATCTACATCAGTCATTTCAAAATGCACTGGCGGTTGGCAGTGGTTTGTGAGCTTTGCTTACAGATGTTTAATTAAAAAACATATTAACCACTGATATGAGAAAAAAGTGCTGATCTTGTTATTTTCATTTTATCTGTTTACATGACACAACAATAAGTACCTTTAAGTCAGTAGAAAATTAAGTGCTAATCTCAAAGAAGTACTCCTAAACCTTTTCCTAATAATAGTCACTTAAAAAAAGGAAAAAAAAAACAAGTTAATGCAAGTAAAACATTTTAAAACCTACATTGGTCTAAAAAAGATCATCAACAGAATGTAGCCAACTGTGGTATTTCTACATTAGTTTGTAAATGAATATTTAAATCAGCCCAGAGAGTTCTGGAAACTAGTCCAGGAAGCAAATAAAAAAAAACTTTTGGCAACAGTGAACAAAGACATGAAAAAAATAAAAGAACGASTGGAAAATCTCAGGGGAAAACGCCTTGACTGCTGTTCAGCCTCGGGACGAATCAATCTCGCTATTTGGTTCTATGTCACAGCCGGTGGCTGGAATCATTTCACGACCMTAAACACTCCTCAGCAGATGAAAGCTGAAGATTTTACCGTGGAGCCTGTCACCCGATGTTCAACGTCACCACGTCACCGATCTAAAGACGTGATTAGAGGTGGCTTCAGCTAGGCACGCAAGGGCGCGCGTGTCCCATATACAACTGTGTGTTGTACTTCGTTCCATTCCTTCAAGGAACCGTGGTTATATTTATAACCTTACGATTTGGTAGCAGTTAGCCAAACTTTGTACCAATGGGATGAAGTAGAAACAGTTTTTCTTTGGATCAGATGTTGGTTTCAGTTTTGTTCATTTAAATGTTTTAATAGAGTCAAATATCTTAACAGAAATACAAATAATCAAGCTTATAGTAGAATTCAATCCATTGACAAAAGCACCTTTAGTGAAAAAAAAAAACTAATTGGGGGGAAAAAAGTATCGTGAAGACAACTACTTCCACCAGATAGATTTTTAGACCACAACCTAACAAATTAAAAATTCATATATATGTTAAAGTTCCAAAGGATATAAATTTTTGGTTTTATATTTGCTTAAAAAAAGAAGAGAAAATTTCATTAAAAATTAATTCAAGACCTTTGTGAGATATTGCAGCAAACTCTCAAATCCAGAAATCCAATTTAATCACAAGATATTTAGTTTATACCATTTGATCACATAGAATTATCTTTAGCGGCTCATAGATCTCTCATGATCTCTTCACTGCGCTCAGCTCAGATCTCCAAGTGAATTGATCCGAACTCATCCTTCAGTCCAGAGTGAGACCAAAATAACAGGTCAATTTTCTTTCCAACAACAATTCATCATGTTCCTTTAAGATCTAGAAAATTTGCCTGCAGGGTGACTCCGCTTTTAGCTCCCTCTTGCTGTGAAGTGATGGGGGGTGGGGGTGGGGGGGGTCGACATAGGTAATAATAGGAAATTGAAGATAAGAAATGCATTTCGGGAGAAGAAAATGCCACAATGTTTCAGCCAACAAAAGAAGAAAAAAATATATAATTTTCTGTAACTGGAAAACTATTAGAAAGCACTGTTATCTTTCATTTAAAGAACACATATTATGCTTTTAAATCCTTCATTTTAATAATTAAATCACTCAGTTGGAGTCTATAAAAAGTGGAACTGCAATGCTTTGGTCTGAATTCCTCCGTATTGTAACTCCACAAGCCCCTCTTTCACTCCTTTTCTGAGTTTCAGATCAACTCGTTTTGAGGCTGTCTCTTTCAATCCAAACGAGGCGCTTCACACCCCACCCACTCCAGCTTCCAGAGCGGTCCATGCTAGTTTGATGAAGGTGTTTATGACTATATAGCGGCACAGAAACTTTTTAGTTACACATTAATTAAAAGATGTCAACAAGGGAAGACTTTTCCACGCAGCCTTACATGTTGAGGCCAGGAGCTGTGTTCAAATTAAGGGGCTGCGTCCTCCAATGGCCAAATTTGTCGGTCACTTATGTCACAGTGCCACATCGTAGATTGTCCAAATTCAAAGACTCCTCCGATGCAGCCGACAAATGCGTCCTCCCTTTTCCCCGATTTGAGGGACGTGTTCGATGGATCCTTCTTGAGCCACCTTATTCTATAATGAATTGCGGGCCGACCGGAGATATTTTTTTCTGCTTGTAACGTCAGATGAAATAAGAGAAAGTTGTACAGTTTTAAATAAAAATCTGGTAGTATAAAGTAAAAGTTTCAAGCGGTTGTGGACGACAGCGGCAGAGTGTTACCGGTTCGATCCCCCGTTCCAGCTGTCTCAGTTGTTGTGTCCTTGGACAAGACACTTCACCCACCTTACTTTCTGATGGTGGTCAGAGGGTCTGGTGGCACCAGTGCATGGCACCCCCACTTCTATCAGTGTGCCCCAGGGCAGCTGTGGCTGTAGTTTACCACCATCAGTGTGTGAATGGGTGAATGTCTCAAGTCTAAAGTGCTTTAGGGTTCATGTGGACTTGATAAGGCGCTACAGAAGTTCAAGCCATTTACCATCTACCATTGCATTGTTAATGCTTTTATCATTTGTATAGAGATGTTTTTATGTTATTCTTGTCAGAAATCAAACAAGCTTGTATAGCAAAATAAACGTGCACATACCTTAGTTCTTCAAATATTACCTTGAAGCTAATTTTGTTGTTTTGTGAGATTTTGCTTTTTTTAAGTCATATGCCAGGGTAAGGGTGGGAATAAAGACCGTCCAAATTTACAGCCACCTTTTTTATGGTCTTCGCGGTTGACCAAGGACCGAGCCCAACTAGACCGGGTAGGCCGGGTCCTTCCAAGGACCCAGTCCCTGAATTTGAACTCGGCCAGATTCTGACCCAGAGCCAGAGGAGAATGAAGACCACTAAAATGTAGTTCTAAGTCCAGACTTAATTTAGAAGTTCCATCAAAAATACTGTGATGTAATAGTTCAGAAAACATCACAGAATATAGAGAAAACTGAACGGGTTGAAAAATATGACCCAAACAGAAGAGAGTCCAAAAGCACAGCAAAATGTATCTAAGGGCTAAAAAAGTGGGTTTTGTGTGATATGTGCCTTTAAAGCACCTAAAATCCTTAAATAATAAACATTCACAGTTTAACAGTTCTGCTGAACTAAAACCTATGTTTATAATAAATTACATGGATTGAAAGTTTTTCAGATGTGTCATTTCTACCCTCTTTGAAAAGACTAAGTATGTGAATGTCTAAAAAGTACCCAAAGGTGTACAGATTGTTACACAACTCACACGGTATTAAATCAAGACAAACCAGTCATTTCTTGTATGAAATCTGGCATTTATGACACAATATCTAAGACCTGCAGTGAAAGCTTTGATGTGTGTGTTATCAGATTGGTTTTTTTCAGGCTAATCTTGAATGAATCAAAAGAGAATAAAGATTGAGTCTGAGGCTTGAGGGGAGCAGTGCTTCTAGTGTTGTTCCAGGTACCAAATAGAATAAATGATCTGTTGCCATTCACTCCCCAACTGTGTGTAAAATCTCATGAAGGCTTGAGGTGCCTCGTTTCACACCTGCAGCACACACCAGAGAACAGGAGAACAAAAAAGAGAAAATCCAGGCAGCAAATTGACTCCAAGTACTTCTTTTCAAAGGATCATAAATCAAAAGGGGCTGGAGCATTTTCCAACACTTTCAGGTCCACGGACTTAAACTCACATCTTTTGATGTGTCAAAAATGTATGATTTTTGTTGTATTTTTAAGCATGATTTACATGACTATACACCAAAGATACATTTGTTGGTACTCTTCCACACTAAAATATAACAGATATARCTAAAGCCAAAAAGCTGCAGTTTTGTCTCATCAGTACCAGAAACTTCTCCCAGAATCTCTGAGGCTTGTCAACATGTATTTAGGTGAATTTCAGTTTGTTATTTTTGTCTTTTTCTGTTGTTAGTGGAGTCCTCCTGGGTCCATGGAGTTTTTTATGATTCAAAGTGCGACAGATGGTGTGACCAGAAAATGATGTACCTACACCCTGAAGTTTGGTTTTGAATATTAATTGACTCTGCTACTCTTGACCAGTCAAGCATAAATGGAAAATGTGTTCCATCTGTTGCCTATCGTCAAAATCCTGGATAAATAATTTCATTTTTGTTATTTTACAAAACATTACATTTTTTTCTTCCCCCGATTTTGTTCATCTTACTTCCTGGGTTATTTGTAAGAAATAGTGAAGGGAGAATCTGATCTAAAGGTCTTTTATGTATGAGTTCAGGATGTTTCAGTACATCTCTTGCGCCCTCTTCAGGAAGCAAAGAGAAGGTGACGTGAGGTAGACTTGCTCTTGAATCCTGAGGGTCACAAGAGCCTTCTCTGTAAGTCCGAGGCCAGAGCTTGTATGCCAT